AGGCAAAGCATGTCTCAAAGAGATCCCAGCGCTTCTCTCCGAGTCACATCACTGTTTAAAGTCAGTGGAGGTGAGAATAAGTACATTTGAGTGAAGTTGGACAAATAAGAACTTTTTTATGAATTTCGAACTTATTTATCAATTAAAAAACAGCACTAAAAAGACATAAACTCTCTTCACGATATCAAATAAAGTTACAAACACACAATTTTCTAATTTTACAACAGAAAAACTCTTACTGATCAAAGTTTATGAAATGTCACTTAATAGCTTTCTGCAATAAATCGACGATATATTTTTATTTGTAGTAAATGCTACATAATAAGACGTGTATTTTACGACACTATCAAGTCCTTCATAAAATAATATGAGAAATCATCAAAACAAATGTTAAATTTATAGTCTTTATATGTGACACTCTTTAAAAGATTCATTCAGGATATATTCAATGACCATTAATTCGTTCGTAAAAATACATATAAAATTGATTTTAAATGTCCGCGATATTTTAAATATTTTTGAGTTGATCCAATACAACAATTATGTAATAAAAACTATAAAAAACTAGTTTCAAATTTATATTACTGAATTTTATTTATATTTTGATAATTCATAGTGCGATTATTAAACCTTTATCCTCATACATGTTCGTACATAAATAATCGATTAATTTAACAGGCAATGTTATTTTAAAATTACATCAATACCTTATTGTAAATTTCAAAGAAACTTCTGCGTTCGTTTCTTAGATAGTGTAAAATCTTAATTAATTAGAAGATGAAATTAAATTCTCTTATCAAGAATAAATTTAGTGATCGTTACGAAATATATCTGTACGAAGCTGATACTACACTGACGACGGAGTACAATGTTCGAACTTGCACAAACACGTTAAGTCTAAAGTTCAAAGTAGCCGGTTTGAAAATAAAATAATTTTATCGGCTATATTGCAATTTATAATTATATAGAATATGAGTGTGTGCCTGAAATATAGAATTATTAATTAGATAATTACGCACTAAAACAGTCTTTCGGATAAACCCGAATGTATTCGGCATTCTATGAACAAGTGTGACCGAAGTGATTGTGAACCACGCGGAACCCGTGCATAAATTAAATTACCCTTTATTTAATATACGTACTCATATTCTAAATGATTATATATTATAATGTACGCATTAAATAACTACGAAATTAAGTTTAATGTTAAATATGAAGCCATATTTATTAATTTAAAATTATATCAGTACCTTATTTTAAATTGCAACTTCTGCGTTAATTTCTCAGATAGTTTAAAATCGCGATTTATTCGGAGATGAAATCAACTTCTTTTGTAAGGAATAACTTAAATAATTGTGGCGAAGTGCTTCGGTATGATCGAACTGAAGATGGGGTATTGTTCGAACTTGCACAGGCAGGCGAAGTCTAAAGTTCAAAGCAGTAGACTTGAATGAAAATAAAATAATTTCACATGTACATTATTATTACAAGGAATATGAGCTTATACATAAGATTCGATTAATTTAACTAGTCATATGTATTCACTTAAAATTATATAAATATCTTATAGAAAATTGTGAACAAACTTCTATATTCTTTTCTCTGGTAGTTTAAAATATCTAGTATAAATAAAATAATATCTGGTAGTTCATTAGGAGATGCAGTAAACTTCTTTTGTAAGGAATAACTTAAATAATTGTTACGAAGTGCATCAGTAAGAAGCTGGGACCACACTGAGGACGAAGTAGGTAGAACTTGCATAGACTTAATATAAACATAGAAAAACATGTGTATTTAGTGTTATACAGAATATCGAAAACCAAGCTACGAAAAATCTGTAAGTAACGTGAAGTATTAGAAAACGCTAATTTGAGATTTTCTGCCAAATATTCAGAAACATAACAAAAGTTAATTAAATACAATGAATCATTGTATTAACCATGTAATAAAATTTAAATAGAAATGTAGTTCATAAAATAAAAAATATGTAGTAAATTTCAACCAATGAATACCTAATTTTAGTTTATACATTCACAGGTTTTTGAAAAATGATTGTTAATATACTGATATTTATTTATTTTAAAATAAATAAACAAGAGATGTGAAATATTTATCAACATAAATCCTTGAGCTTACATTATGAATAAAACAGCTAAAGAAATATCTTCCATATTGCCATATATTGTAATATTTCTTTTTTTACCTCCCATACCCCAACTATTACTCCATCAAATGCATTGGGAGAAAGATCATTTTATGTTTTATGCGTTTAAAAAAATATTTAAGGAATACTATGGAAGAGGAAAACAGAATGGGCCCATCCAAAATTTTTGGCGAATTTGTATGAAAAAATAAAAATAAAATGCTAAAATTATGTAAATGAAATGTGTGTAAGTTTCAATTTTATATAAGGTTTATTTTTAAAATTAGGCTCTTGTTTTATAGAAAGTTATGAGACTTATTTTGGTACATATAAGGATATATAATTTTAATTAACCATTCAGCTTTAATTACAGAGGAAATGACTTTTTTCAAACTCCTTTATAAATAATAAATGTAATTTAAACGAGGAAATGGATGATATATTCAACTCTAATTAAGTGAACAATATGTGAAAAAAGTTCATTGGGATAAAAACTGTTTCAATATCTTGTTTTATTAACTCGATATATAGATATTCTCTGTAAATAAATAATTCATTAATTTTTAATTTATCTTTTTTTTAGGTGATTGAAGCTATAATGCATACCTTCTTTACAAATGATATATCAAATTCAAACTAAAGTAATAACATTTTAAACAATTTCTAAGTCAAAAACATTTTTTTTTTCTTTAAATAATAATCTTCAAGGAACTCTTAAAATAAAATATTCCGGCACTGAATTTCAAGCCTTGGAGTTTAATGAATAACTAAATATGACTAATTAAATAGAGACAGTAAGTATACGCCAAGTTCTTAAACTCTGGCGCTGAATTCGTAGACCATCGGTGGAATACAGCGCGTTCTTTTATTCATAGAATGAATCATCGATCAGTGGTTTGATCTTCTTTTTTGAGTGCGATGTAACTACATTATAACCTCAGTATTGTCATTCTTCAATTTACTTTACATGTTTGTATCCTGTTTATTTTTTTTTTGTCTATTTTCATTCGGAATTTATTTTGCACTGTCTCGAAAGTCGTCAGTGGAAGGCAAGTTTGAGTTTTCTATCCGTTTTAAAACCCCTAGGAGACGATTAAGCGATTTTTAGAGATTTCAGTTATAGGCTAAAACACTAAAACGGCTATATTAGTTTTGATAAAAACTGTCCTTTTCCAATGAAAAATGGACAGAAAAGTGTGAACTACTCAAAAAGTATGCATTTTTCGATGAATTGTATTGGACCATATTTCAAAGATAATTAAATTTCCTATTAAGAAAAAGAAACATTCATCGAAATCAGCTTAGTATTAAGTAGGCATGATTCCGGTTTTTGGCTATTTTCTTTCAGAAATAATCATAGGTACAGACTACGAGGGGGAGGGGTGCGCAATGTAAAAGTGACAAGAATATCGTTTTGTTCGCCCCTCCCTCCCTCCAATAATTTGAACTAAAAATAAAATTCAAATTGACAATAAATAAGCTACACGAATGAATGAGATATGTAAACTAACATTGATTAAGAAAAGTCCACTGGCTTGCTAGGCTAAGGGATATAAGTAGGTAGGTAACTATTTTCTCACGACCTAAATATTATTTAAATTTTCATTTATATTCAGGTAAATTTGGAAACAAATTAATAAATGAAATATATTTTTCGGTTTTTGAACATTATTCATTTTTAGCTGGAAAATATATAGGAAATTATATAAATAAATTATGTTATGATGGCTGTCACCCTTCCTTCCATGTATAACGAATATAAATTGTTATAAATCCGATTTTTTTGTACAGATATTTTCAAGTATATCCTAAATTTATTTTAAATATTATATTAGCTAATTGTTTTTAATTATTTTTTTATTTAAGTCCTTCGTCCCGCCGTAATCGAAATGATATTTGAAACTTTACGGAATGTCGTCAGTGGAAGGCAGAGTTTCGTTTACTATATTTATTTATTTTTTTAATCCAAACCATTCAGTAGTTAAGTAATTCTTTATTTTATTTATTTTTTCATATATCTTGCTCAGAGATATAAAGAGATTCATGGATTTCACAGATAGAACTAGAGCTGAATTTTGGTTCGTGTTTTATTTAACTAGTGCTTTATATTTTTTAATAATAGTTATGTTTTTCTTTTAAAAGTTTTTGCTTTCGTTTTTCATTTTTAATTTCTCATTAATATTTAAAACAATCATTGAAATTATTAAACTGAGTGTAAATTGTTAAAATATTCGATTTTAAATTTCAAACTCTTAAATTATTGAAACTTTAATAATTATTTCGTAATTATTCAAGCTCTCGTTTCATCTCTATATCATTATTCAAGATTCTCCTGCTCCTCTTGAAAAGTGTGAACCCCTATCTTGTGTGTTCTCTTGAGGGGAGGTCCCATATGGCACCCCGAGGCACTGATATACAGCAGGCTAAAATGTAGATCTAATAATATATTATAAATATTTTAAATTCTATTCTATATAATAATAAATTATACTAAAGATTTTTACCAACATTTTACATATATTTTTTTTTTATTTTGTTACGAAAAAAAACTTTAATAATTACCGGAATTCCGATCTGTATCCAATATATACTACTAAATCTAAAACAGATTAAAAATTTCCACAAGATGAAAATAAAATATTTAAAAAAAAAAAAGTATTTTCATTAATGCTCCAGTAAAAGCTACACCACGAACTCTCCTCGCTCCAGACAGACGTGTTATTAGTTTCCGATAAAAGCTGATACGAACTCCAGTACAGGCCTGTTAGTAATTTTTTGAAGCGGTGTGAAATGTGGAAAGAGCGGACTCACTCCCGAAGGGGAATGTACAGGTAGGAAATGCGAGATGGGTATCGGGTTAATGAGTTCTGGGGGGCCTTTTGTCTTGGAGAGGGGCCAACTTTTTACCTTCCAGTCCGAACTGGAAAACAGGAGAGCTCTGAGGATGGCTCTTGTTGATTGGGATAGTTCTAAAGGTTGACAACCACTTGAAGCTGAGGCCCGGCGCTTTATGTACTCGTATAAAAAGAAAAAAAAAGAGAAAATAGTATGAAAGAAACGTCGATCACAATAAACAAAAGAGATATCAATAAGAAATTATTGGACTATTTAATAAAAATACTTTAGAATATCAAATATTAAACCAGAATTATTTGTTATTTTATTACTGGACTTCTCGGCCTATTTTTTTTTTTTTTTTCGAGCGAGGGGAAATGATGTGGAGTAATCTCAGAATTTAGATCTACGAGCAACTGGACTCGAACCCGTAATCATTAGTTTATCAAGTGTCAGGCACATGTTCGGGCACACCATATTCCAAGATGATTTATTAAAGACGGATACAGCAACCTGTATGAAATGAAAAAAAAAAATTTATTCGTTTTTCGAATTCTACGCATCCTGAAACGTAAAACCTCAAATTTTGAGAGGGGGTTAAGTTTTTGAATTTTTTTAGTCAATCACAATAGTTGATTATTGAAAATAATAAACCAAAAATATTTAAAAATCGCGATATCTCTACTAATAGTGCTTTGATTTCGATGAAATTTCCTTCGTTTTGTAGAAAATTTAAATATCTTTGAAACATCTTATCACAATATCCACAAAAAAGAGTATACTTTTTGAGTTATTCGGAATTAAATTTTACCATTCCTCGTAACTTTTTTTCCAGCTTCTTTTCGTTGAAGTATGTTATATAGATAAATTTAAATGGTGTCAAGAAAATGACTTTAGCGAAGTTTCATTGAAATCGGTACATTCGTTTAGGAGCTACAGTCTATAGCAACGTAGGTTATTCGGCCGCCATTTTGAAAGCAAAAGGCGGATAGTAATGTCGATGAAGGATGATCATCCTCGGGTGACTCTGATTTTATATCTAAAATTGAAAAAAAATCGGCCCAGTTTCGGAGAAAATGCGCGAACGGTGGAAGGACAAAAAAAATTTTATTCGTTTTTCGAATTCTACACGTCCTGAAACGTGAAACCTCAAATTTTGAGAGGGGGTTAAGTTTTTGAATTTTTTGTTCGATCACAATGGTTGATTATTGAAAATAATAAAGCAAAATACGAACTTTAAAAGTTGTTTTCATTGTTCGCAATTATTTGTGTTATAATATTATATATATGATGGTATTAAATAATTTTCAGCCCTGATGATGACCCACGTGTATGGGTTGAAACGTTGGCACCAATAAAAACCTATAAAATTACTGCATCCTGAATATTTATCACCCATGATATGTAGAACAGTCGAGTAACGTCCTTCAATAATTGATTAAATGTTTAATTTATAAGGCTGACTTCAGGAATCAGCGTTTGAATTTAGGATTCATTCAAGTATTTAAATTTAAATACGAGTATAAAAATAAATAAAAGAAAAGAAATAGAAAAGGCTCGATAAGCAAGTACGCGGCAGTACCTCATCGAGGTTTTATTTTACTTACGAGTACATAATTACGTATACAGATGGTTGGAATGTCCAATTTTGACTAACAGTGGAATTGATGAAGAATTCCAGAAGACATGAAGTTTCGATAAACAACAGCACCTCTCAGATCTAACATATTAAGATTTAATAAAGACTGATAGTTCTGTCAACAAAGCCCTTTTAGGACCGGAACGCACAGACTTTGCTTACAGCCTGGAGCCGACCTGGAAGACCACAGCCCGGCGGCGGCCACGGCACAAGGGGCCTGGAACCGGTTCCAGCCTTCATTAGCGAAGAGCCCGATCATTAGGAACCTCCGCAGGATAAAGAAGACTTCAAGCAGGTCCGGTCTCGAGCTCTCGCGGCCCTCTCCTTATCCTGAGGTAATTAGTATTTCTAGGATGGTAGCGTCGTATCCTGTAGAGGAAACTCTGGAGGAATCAGAGGATCTTATATCTTCTTTAAGGTCCTTCCTACATTGTGTACGGTATACGTTTTGGTGATATTTCATTTTAACTGGCTGATAGACCACAAGGAGTAGGAAGTATGTTATATTGAATACATAATAATTGATCGTTGTATTTTAGAGGAAGGAGATGGTCCGGGGTGACGGTCATAAATAGGCTAAATAGTGGCAAAACTATTTTATTAAAAGCCAACGTTTCGACTCGACTTTGCAGGTCTTCTTCAGGGTTAGAACGGACAAGATACAAAAGGATATAGAAAATTGTGGAAGTTACATATTATTTAGATAAAAATTATAAACAAGGTGAAAAAACTTATTGAAATATTAAGAACAATAAACTATATAAACAGATTAAACTAAGTAACAAGATCCTAAACTGAAGTACATAAATGGTAACAATTACTGTAGTATAATATATAATATAATATATGCAATTATGAATATACTAATACAGATCTTAAGGAGAGATTGAGTCCTGTGGGAGTATATTCATAATTGCATATATTGTATTAAAATACAACTGTTACCATTTATTTACTTCAGTTTAGGATCTTGTTACTTAGTTTAATCTGCTGATATAGTTTATTGTTCTTAATATTTCAATGCACTTACCTTTTATAATTTCAATACGTTTATTCACCTTGTTTATAATTTTTATCTAAATATTATGTAACTTCCACAATTTTCTATAACCTTTTGTATCTTGTCCGTTCTAGCCCTGAGGAAGACCATGCAAAATCAGGTCGAAACATTGGCTTGAAATAAAATAGTTTTGCCACAGTTTATGTCTATTTATGACCGCCAACCAGTACCATCATTGCCTTTCTCTAAGAAGTACGTTAATATGAAATTCAAAACTTTTATTTTGATTAAGGAATGACGGTGAAAAAAAAAAAATGGGAGTTTATATTTATCTAACTATTTACATAATAATGTCCATAAAAAACATTGTCTGTAAAATATGTTTATACTTATTTAAGTATACTTATTGCTACTAAATTTTGTTAACTACTTTGCCACGGAAAATGTGATAAAAATATCACGTGAAAATTTAGGAGTGATTAAATCATCGTTGTGATAAAATAGTTACATATCTACTTCTAGGTTCTATCCTAGCCCCAGCAAATCGACTTTTCTTATTTTCTTAAAGCATTTTAATTTACATATTTTATTCATTCATTTTTGGTTTCATTGGACCTTTTCCAAGCATAAACAGTAAAAAATTATTTGTATGTACGTAACTTCAAATAGTGCAAACGATTCGTTACCGACTACGCAGGTCTTTGTGGGAGGAGTGATATCAGTTAAAAATAAGATAATGAAAATAAATTTTTTTTATTGGTCCATATTTGTAACAATAAGCTATATGGGCCAAATACTTAAAAATATATTGAACTGTCGGATTATTAATAACGCAGAGAATTAACAATGCAGGTACCAATAAATGTAAGAAACTGTCAAGAAAAATACAAATTTATAACTAAAAGCATTATTTTATGTGCAATTACAGCTATGAGAAATACAATTTAAAAAAAAGTAGAGTTTTAATATATTCTTATGCTTCCTAGTAAAATTCGTGAAAAGTTTATTTTTCGTTAACGAATCAATAAAAGTAATAAACTGGTCGCTAAGTTATAGCTGTGCTTAAATATGAAACACGTGATAGGCTCTTAAGTACAATAGACTGTGGTTTATTCAAGGCATATTATATGGGCTGTTTCTGTCAAGCTGGAACGCTAAATGCTTCCAATGCATTCCAGTATATATGAACCTCCTCCAGCACATGACAAAACAACAAGACCGCTCGGCAGTAATAGCCGATGGGAGAGCACTCTAGGAGCCAGGGCAGGCGTTAACCTTTAATGGTTCCACGCCAGAGGCCAATCAATTATTCAAAATGCAACCAATTTCCAAATTGGCCACTAGCGGCGGTTATGGACGCCATAAGGATACCCCTCCCCACCCCCCAGGATCTAAGAGGTCCTTCCGCCGTTACGTGCCATCTCATCCATGGATCCTTTATCCTTTTTATTTTCTCTGGTATTTATTGGCTTCGGATATATCCTCAATCCTCCAGCTCTTTGGCTAAAGTATCCTGTCGTTTCTCAGCGAATCTTCATAGGCCATTCCAATAAAAAAAAAAGTACCTATATACAAATGCAGTGCGGACTCTAAGGTCCTGTTAGGCGTCCTTATATATATATATATTTTAATAAAGATTACAAGTAATCATAAATAAATAATTATGATGAATTATAGGTAAATAAATTTGTGTTCGCTAAATTATGCTAAGCAATTTGAATAATACCAGTAAAATAATAAATAACAATAATATCACAAAACATGTTTTTAGGTCCGTGTGCATTTTTTACAGTATCATCAGAAAGCTAATTTTTCTTTCTTTGTTTATACCTAATGTGCTATATTATGAGAAAATTATAAAGATGGACATTGCTTTGAGAATCATGAGTTGAAACTAGAAAATTAAACTTGCAACTGTGAAAATTCAGAACTTTCAATTGCTTTTTCATAAATATGATTTTTGAACCTAACACGTTATTCATGGGTGCCACGGACGTATAATAGGAAGTTTCACTGTTGAGGAGATGAAAAAATGGTCTGTGTTTAAATTAGGTTAAAAACGAGGTTTTGCCTAAGGAAATGGACAAGGAATTCCATAACAATGTACTGTTATAAAGGATTTTTCGAAGTAAGAAATTCTATGAACAGGAATATACGGATTTGCGGATAGGGACCTCGTGTTTAAAGCTTCCCGTTCACTCTGAACGAGGAGTCGACAAATCAAGAAAATTAGGAGGCATTTTGGTATTAAAGATTGGTAAAGGTATGTGCCTAGATTTTATTTTTATCGAAAATAAAATATTAAACAAAAAGTTAGTTAACGAATAATACCTAAGACGGTTTTGAATCAAAATTTCAAGTTAGGATCACTGCATTTGCAGTGTCGTAAATTCTGTAACTTTATTGAATAATAAATGTTTTGATACTAATGGGATGAATAAAGCAGAAAGAGCTCATAAAGTCAAGAGTAATATTTCGACAACCTAATCTCTTGCTCCTTATAAAATATTTATAATGTATTTTATGTAGCCATAACACACAGTTCCACTCCTGACAGCATAATATTTCATAACGACTGTAATAAAGCGTATATTGTCATAATAAAATATTAATATTCAGCGAATGTAGCTGTGATGAAGTTGTACTCGTAATATTCAATGATGTCTTCATGATAAAGCAATCAAATTTAATATGCAATCATTTATTTTATTTTCAATAATCAATGGGTTCTATAAACAGGATAACAATATTCTTCTGTTCGACTATATTAATGAAAAAAAAAACTACATGTAATTTAAAAAATAAAATATCTCATTCAGGTATATGAGCAGTCAGCCTACCGGAACACAACTACTCATACCTTTCGAAGGAGTACTGATCTAGCCTCGTGTATCTTAATCACTTACATCTAGTGATTTTTGCAATAGATAATTTTTTACGAAGGCCTATTTTTACTAGGCTACTCAATTTTGAGGGGAAAGGGGTAAAGTTTTTTATTTTTTTTTTTATTTGAAAAATCATATTTTTATAAGGTTTCAGTTTAGGAGAACTATGTAACCAGAGGTCAAAGTAAAACAAGGAACACCTAATCTTCTGGTAAATAAACTACAATTTTTATAATAGGCTGTTATACATTTAACGGCTTTAAAACAAACATATGTCAAAGTATTTAAAAGGCAATTTATACCTTTTCGGTCCTTTTTTACTTTCCTGCCTATACTAGATAAGGAAAGTATTACAATCGGGTAAACTTTCCGACATGCGGTTTTTGACGGATCTATACGTTCCAGAGCCCCCTCTCACAGATCTCCGAGTCCGAAAAACACATTTTTAGCCATAGTTCTGTCTGTCTGTGCCAAGATTTTCTCGGGAATTACTGAACCGATTCTGTTGTTTCTTTTTTTATTTTGTAGTGTTTTGACTACTGATGCCTGTGACAGATGAAAATAAATCTTGTTCAATTTTTTTTTGTTTCTTCAAGAACTTATGTAAAGATATAAAAGCTTTTCTGAAATAGGTAGGAAAGTCGTGTGAGTGGACACACCAGATGTTTTTCCTCCCCATCCTCTTCTTTTAGGTTATAATTTTTTTTCCCAAGCCAGAGGAGAGGGCGGAAAATTTATTTGAGAGTTAAACGCCCCTTCGGCAATGAGACACGAACTCATAGATATTATATTTCACCCAACATCGGTTTGGTTGCCGTTAACCCTCTCGGCCACACCGCCCCCATCTCTTCTAGATCCTTCGATTTTCTAAACCTGTAATTATGATAAAGCTTTGAAACTAAGATTCATCATTTCGACATGAAATTCCCTTTCGTTTAATACCTCATTCATCAAAATCCATCATTCCTGAATGGCGGAAAAAGGACCTGTACAACCTTATTGTAGATACAATAGAATATATTTCAATCCTAGATATGAACGGACGAGTGCTTGTAGCATTGATAGATTATTATTACTAAGCTATTACCCAACATATTATAACATGGTCCGACCCCAAAACACAAAGGCCCCGACATATCGGGAGGGGGGCTGGATGTACCCCGATGGCCGATGGTGTCCCTATCTATTGATCCTCTTCCACATCAGGCATCTGTCATTTTCTCTCCTTTTGTTGCCGTCACGTCACACTTCGTGGTTTCCATCCTCCGGACTTCATTGTCACATTCTCTTGGGGTGCTCCACAAACTGGATTTGTTTGTCCCGAGGGTCCCAGGGGTTTTTCCGGTTTCGAGAGGGTTCCTGTCCACATGTCAA